GGGAGCTATGCTCCCCCCATATGCCTTTGAAAGCTGCCTGGCCCACACAAGGGCAGGACCAGCTGCCCCTATCATGCCGCCCCCGCAGGCAGATTCGTCGGGCGTCCAAAGTGTCACCTTGGGTGTAGATGCCACCCACATCGGGCACAGAGCTCATGAGAATTGCAAACAACTGATTAAAGTTGACATGTTCAACGCATCATTGGACACCCTCAACATGCACACTTTCTCGCACTGTGTAAAATTAAGGGAAATTAGTCTCCCGCCCACCCTGCAGGAGATCCAGGCAGAGGCATTCAAAGGTTGCCTCGGCTCTCGCCAGCATTGACCTGCCTGACAAGCTCAGGTACATTGCGCACAGAGCGTTTGGAGAGTGTGGACTGCTGTCCCACCTGCACCATCGGAGAATGGCGCGGGCCACTTGGAGGCGCCCGTATGCTGCTCACAATGCCTTTGAATCGTGTTTTCCGGCTCCGGCTTGCGCTCCCCTGGTGGCTCAATTGTCTTCCGCCCAGTGGAGACGACTGGACGGTGCCGCCGAGCTATCATACAGAACTGTGCAAAACAGCAGAGGCTAATCTAGCGCGGTCACCTCTGTCACTGTCCCTAGAGGAGAGCCAGAGGAGTAAACGCATTGTGAACAGACCATTACTTGTCAGAGTCGGGTGACACATTCTGGCTCAAGCCACCTGAGATACTCACACTCCCTGTTTTTTGCGCTGAGATGGTTTTTTTGCACGAGTTGAGGCGCTATGTGTGCAGGTTCTGCACAAGTCACCTTGTTCGAGTTTTTTTTGCACGAGTGGAGGCGCTGTGTGTGCAGGTTCTGCACAAGTCACCTTAGTCGAGTTAAGATGGAGCTACAAACCAGGTTGCAACCAACAGGAAGAGACCCAACAACGAAAACACCGAGCCAAAACAAACAAACCCCCAAAAACAAAACACGCAAAACGCAGGGGCAACCTGTAAAGTAGCTCATAAGGCCATGAAGGCATGAAGCTAGGTGAAACAGGGGCGATGAATTCAGAAGTGCACTCAGTAGTTCTTGTCCATCAACGAACTGCAATGAAGAAGCAGGGGCGTGTGCACAGTGAAGCATGTGAAGCATGTTGAGACCAGGTAAAACTCTCGCGGCAGTGGGCATCACTGTGCCGCCAGTGGTGCTTTGCAAGAAGAGAGTTAGGTGGGCTTTGCAACTCGGCATGGTAATGTCTTTTCTCGAAAGCATGATGCACCTTCAAGGGTGCGCACGAGTGCATTGGCATGGTCCATAAGGTTCAACAAGTCACCTTGTTCGAGTCAAGAAGGAGTTGCTGTGCAGGTTGCATCCCAACTGCGAGAGAGAAGCCCCCAAAAACAAACCAACAACCAAACAGAACCAAGCAGCAAAACCAACCCCCCAAAGGAGACAAGGGGAGGAGCAACCTGTTATGCAACTCGCAAGGCCACGTAGGCATGGTGAAGAGCGGTGAAACAGGGGCAGTGAATTCCGCAAGGCGCTCAGTAGATCTTGTCCTTCAGCAAATTCACGTACCGCTGAGCACTTCAACGCATGATCTTGTTCAAGCAGAGGGAGACTTAAGAGATCTCCCCCAACTGGCAATTCGCACAGTCAGTTTTCGAAGTAGTGCTCCCTTAAAGAGCACACGGCAGGCTCTTTTGCGTTTGATCCCCACATGACAAAATCGGATCATTTTCGCAACATGTGTCAGGCAGACTGCTTTGCAGCAGGCAGCGACCAGCCTCATACAAGCCAAGGAGTGGCAGCAGAGGGAAGACCACAGTCTTCGCACTTGGAATCTCCAAAATACCGATGACGAAAGACAGTGTGGAGCCACAGGCGAGGATCCAAAAAGAGGCCACAGGAGTTGCTTGTCCAGTTGCTCCCCCCAAGGGGGGGAGGCAGCAAAGGGAGCATGTCAGACCAGCTCCGACTCCAAAACGGCTTAGCAACGGGAGTGAGGCGAAACATGCTCCTTGGATGACACAAGTTGAGCAGGCTCCATGGCATGGGCGCTGCAAAAGTGATGCAGTCAGACATCTGACATTCCTTTCAAACGCGGCCAGGCTGGGTGTGGCCGATACATGCAAGGCCCCATAAACAACTCGAAAACAGGTGAGACAAAGTGAGACGCCGTTTTCCTAACTCTGTACACTGTACCCATCCAGAACCACTACGCGGGCAGCAGCCACTCTTAGGACCAGCACACAGGTGCTAGCCTAAGACTTGCGGGTGTCAGCAAGTATTTGCAAAAGCACGACCTGGAGAGGCACGTACTCTCGGGCCAATGCTTTCCTTCAGTGTGACAATCTTGATCTGCCGAAATGGGTTCGTTGGCTCCCACGCAATCAAAGAGATGAGGACCAATGGGCTGATGACTCCGTCGCAGTTCTCAATTTGGGGTACATGTCCAGAGCTACGCATAGCTGAGCGTTTTTGCTGGCACCTGTGTGTTGGCCCTATCCACATTAGAGGCCACCTCAGTTGAGTACCCTGGAGCACCCTAATGAGCAAGCTGCCCATAAAGAAACGCCAAATGTGACTTCGGTAAATGCTGGAAACCAGGACTATGATGACAAGAGGACCAACAGACACACGTTATCACGCGCATGCGCAACAATCCGCGGCTCAATGCCTTTGACAAACGCGAGCAATTGGACAAGCCCCAGTGGCTCCGATTCCTGCCGCCAAATGCAAATGACCAATGGAGAGACGACTTCCATGACGCCACATGTTAGACTGGCAACGCGCGGATGACAGTGGAGAAGGACTGCTATTCTGCTTCGATGTGGTGAGCCAGGCTCAAGAACTCTCAGGCGAAGCCACCATTTCGGTCTCAGTAACAACATTACAGTGAGCCTGTAGGAATGAGAGCCTTAGCTTCCGCTCCTAAGAGGCGGGTGGTAGAGAATGGTAATGGAAGGTTGCCAGGGGGAACCTTAATTCTCCTTGCAGCGGCCAAGCCATGACCATTGCTGTACAAAGGGGCACAAGTACCATGCTAGGATAGGTCCACGTTTCACTGGTTTCACCCGGGCCTTGCATGCAACAGGAGACTTTCGCATCTTAGTGTCTCTCTCTCTCTCTGTCTGTGGCAGGCTGACCTCAGTTAGAGAGGAGCACTTAAGGAAGGCTTCCTGCTCAATCATGCGGAGTTTGTGTGGAAGCCACAGGGATCGCAAGTGTTTGCAGTGCGCGAAAGCACATCCCATGATCTGACCCCTGGTTAGTTGCTTTTTTTCCACAAGTGCGGACGCCGTGTGGGCGGAGTGCCCAGGTCATCATTGAAGGAAAAGGAAACACAAAATGATGGTGGGGAAAGGAACACAAGCAAACCCCAAACCAAACAAAAAACCAACCAAAACACCCTGGACACAGAGCCTTTGCAGGGTGCAAGCTAGTTTGCCTCACCTGTCGCAGTACAAAGGCAGGCCGACGCCGCCTACAAGTGGCGGCCAATGCCTTCGAGGGATGTCAAGCACTGTCCATTCCTGGAGGGATATACCATCTGTCCGCACGGGGTAGTCAGGGCACCAGAAGGCGCACATTTTGGGGGGGTCGAGATAGTGAAACAGTGCCATCGCACTGATGGCTGCCCGTGCGTTTGTCCTTTCCCCAACATTGGTGAAGCGCTCTCAACCAGTGGCAGTAGCCAGAAAAGCAAGCCTGATTGAGGTCTGCCGCAGGACCTTTTGGCTCGAAAACAGGTGCGCATTGCTGTGCAGTGGACTTTTGACCATGATAGCAGACCACATTTCAGTGTCCACCTCGCAATGGAGCGAAGAAAGATCAATGACTATCTACTTGATGTTAGCCACATTGGCAGGAGAAGAGACCCAGCTAACTGTCGAACTCCAGGAATTGGACCGTCTCCAGGAATTCGAAAATGCAGTGTTGGAGCAACTTCCCGAAATAGGAGAAAGCAGTACGTTTTGCTGTGAGCTGGACTTTGTCTGCCGCAACAGACACAGGTGAACATTGTGCACACGCAAGTCTTCTCGCATTGTCGGTCGCTGGCACAGATGTCCTTGCCAAAGCACCTTGCCGAAATCAGTGCTGAGGCTTTCGAAGACTGTGTTTCGCTGTGTACAGCAGCACTCCCGCAGCAATTGGAGTCACCTCCCCTCTAGGGAGGAGTTGGCAATTGTCGTAGGGAGTGCTTTGCTTCGCAACTACATTGATATCGGCTGCACTGTTGGTGTGTTCTCGGCAGTTTGAAGCTTTCGGAAGCATCTCGCAGTGGTTTTCCTTGGGGCCGGCTCAATGCAAGAGAGCGAACATCCCTACATGTCTTGCAAGTCGCTAGATACCCGTAAATGCATCGGCCTACAATGCTTACCAAATGCAATCTTGTCCACGGCGTCCTGACTCAGGTCGTTCCGCTGTCTGCAAGGATGAACCTCGAAAGGTGTGAGACCTGAACAAAGCATGCATCAACACTACCTCGTGGTCAAGATGAACTGAGAGCCGGTGCTGAACTCATTGCCCCTGTTTCACCTTCTCTTTATTTGGCCGACACGGCTGCTTGAGCTACATACCAGGTTGCTGTTTTCGGTTGGGGTTGCTTTTGGGTTTGTGTGGTTTGGTGCTTTGGTTTGGTTTTGTTGTGTTGTTTGTTTGGTTCTTTCTGCACCTCAACCTGGTTTGTGACTCTCACTTCACTAGCATAAGACGACCTGTGCAACCTCTGCACACATGGCGTCTCCACCCGTGCAAAAAAGGCTTTCTCAGGTACATCCTCATTCTGTTAACAGTGCCTTTTTTTGTTCCAATCATATGACAGGTGACCTTGATCATTCGATCCATGTCAGTTGACAGTTGACAGGGGCAAACAGTTGATGGCGCCAAATGAAACGGCTATTCTGTTGGGCCTGTCGTGCAGATAATGCCATATTTGCTTGAAAGAACGTATTGTGGCATGTGAGCATCATTGCAAGTATGCATCTGGTTGAAACAAGGTGCCGACATTTGCTGAAGAAAGCAATGAACCCCGTGATATTCTAGATCAAGGCGTTGCCCTGAAGTGAGCTGTAAATTTGACACAGTGAGGCTCGATTGCATTTGAACGGGAGGTGCGTTACACCCACGGAAAATCCTCAGGGCGCGGGCGCAGGGTTGAAATTGAGACGCGAAACAACTTCTTTCGGGAGTTTCTTTTGTCATTGCCCAAACTGTGTGGAACTCGTTTGTTTTTGTTTCCTTACTTTCAGCAAACTTCTATATAAAGACGATGGGTAGCACCTGCACCAGTTTAGGTGAATTATTGTATGTCAATGTGTTGATGAAGTTCTTGGAGTGACATTGAAGGCAATCAGGTGAAACCAGATCCAACATATGAACTTAGGAGTGCTGTGGTACTTTCTGCTGAAAGATGGCCACGGCGCTGCTGGCATGGCTTGGCATGGGCGGTTTAAGAGGACAACTTTTGTGGTTGTTGTTCACGCAGTTCATAGTTGTCAATTTTGCTTGTGATTTGAACTTGCACGGCAGACGGTTGTGAAAGTCCAATGTGACGATGGAGAGATATATCGACTGACTCTTCAAGAAGAGCTGGTGCCCCAGAGGTGAAGATTGCGTTCTTTCTGTCGTTTTTGAGTGTTTACTTTACGGAAAGAGGATCGAACGATTTGTAGAAGATCGGGAAGAAGAGATTAAGGCCTAGCTTTGAAACTATCGTTCAACTCGTTGCCAGCTGCTGTCGACACCTTGGCTGTGTGTAAGAGTTGTACGTAAGGTTTGGCTTCTAAAGTCCTGGACTTTCAGGTCCTGAGGCGCAGGCCTTCCTGAGCCACAGCAATTGTGCGTTGAAGTATGTCGGGACCTTGTGAGCGCGAAACAGAGGACCTTGGGAAAGCACCAAAAGTAGCCGGGGACGGTACTACTCTGATGGTCAGACGCGGAATTCGGTCTTGCTTTGGAACTCAGCCATCGGGACAGGTCTCCGATTTCCGGTCCTCTTAGACTCTCCCAGCCATGGTTTGGTGACACCTTGGTCCAAGGCGGATGATGAAGGGGATCTTTGCACTCTGGCCCCAGCCACCTTTGAAGATTTCCTCTGTATGTCAGGAACATAGCTGCTTCAAGCCCCTTTACAGATCCTCCAAAACTGATTGGCACACTTTGCAATACACTTCCAGATTTTTTTTTTTTTTTTTTTAAATCTATTTGGGTGTCTACAAGTGAAGTCTTTGACTTTTGAGATGTTCTGAGCTCTCAGGCAGAGGGCCCAGAACAGTCGGTTGCTCAAGCCTCTTGGCGCGATGGCCTGCTGCGATGGGAGGGACCCCGCTAATCATCACTGGCCTGCTTGTCCAGGTTGAGATTAAAGATGCCGTGCTCTGGTCGAGCTCCCGAGAAGGAGGATATGCCAAGAAGAGCTCCCGAGTTGGACAGGACGGGCCACTCCGGGGACCACCTGGCCAGCAGTCAGGACTACCATGTCCCAGCAACTCGTGGAACTCGACTCGTTGAGCTCGACTCCGACAGGAAGACACTTTCTGACGCAGAGCTGCCTTCCAAGTCCGACACACCGCACGGCTCTGAGATGTGACACATGCGGACGGCTCTTCGCCAAAGCAGAGATGCTGGATGTGAATCAAACATGCTTGCAAAGATATTTTTGGAACCTTCTATGTTGTTTGTTGGACATGTGATTTTGATTGATTTTGTGCTTGCATCCATCACACGATTTTCCACTGCAGTTGACCTTTTCGACCAGTGAATGCAGGTCCCTTTCACTACCAGTCGTGGGATTTCCTCTTTTGCATGAAAGCCACCGTGTCGCATGTGATGTCGCACAAAGTCACCAATCCTGAGATCCTGTTGGTCACCCTGAGTGGGGTAGCCACTGGCTGCATGTACCCTTGGCGTGCCTAAGGCCTCAAGGGCCGCCTCCCGGTCTGGAAAAGGAGGCAGAATTCTTCTTGACTCCTGGGTCAGCTCATGAGTGTGCAAGATCATCATTCTGAAATAGACTAGACACACATGAGTTGGCATTTTTTTCATTTGGGTTCCTCTAAAAGTTTTGGGTCCCAGCGTGGGATTGAAGTCTGAAGTGCTTTTCATGTCAATGTGGCAGGTGTGGGACGGTTGATTTCAACCCACGTCAGATGTTTTTCATGTAATGAAAATGCCTTTGGAAAACATGCTCGATTTTAGGACCAGGACCGCGATTTCTCCAGTGGTCCAGGAGCTTGGGGTGCCGACCTCAAACAGCAGGATTTCTCGCTTCTATTTTTTCCCCGACGTTTTTGCCATGTCAACAGCAGCTTCGCGTCGTTCTTTTTCCAAGGTCCGGGTGGCAACGGTGGCGGTCCACGTCGACTTTTGAGCACTTTACGCATGCTTCGAGTGCGCCAAATGCTGCACTTTTGAGCAAGACTTTTGATTTGTCCTCGCAATCCTTGTCCTTTCTATGATTATTTTCTTAGCAGACAATGAGTTGTTCAGGAAGCCGGCATGCTAACACCTGCAATGTTTGCCTCCCTCACAGTGTGTTGCTGGCTTCGCTTGCCAAGATGCTTCAAAAAGCTGTCCTTTGAATGGTCAAGAAATACCAGCCTCTCTTTTGGCCAGGCAATGGCTTCCTTTGCTGACTCAACGTGTGGCACGAAAGGTTGACAAGTCTATCCCTCAGTATCGTTGAATTCTTTCCTCTCGCGGCCCAGCCGGCCCAGCAGCCCAGCTGGGCTGGCGTGTTCGCTGAAGGATCAACCATATGGCCCGTGATGGACTGGACGCAACACTCCAAAAGATGCTGGAAATTGTTCAGGACTGCAAGTGCAGTGGACCGGGATATGTGGAGTGGTGATTGTGATGGGGCCTGGTGCTGTGCTCTTTTTGGTTTCCTCAGAGGACCAGGCGGCTGGCACTCCCGGCCTTGAGCACTATGCTGCGCTCATTGCCGAGGCCTGGGCAGAATGGCAGGTGCTCCTGAACTCCGTTGGGAACTCCGTTGGGAACGACTTGTTCCGCCAAGGCACTGGGTGGCCGTGGTGGGCAAAGGCTGGCCTTCGGGGACAGACGATTTGGGAGTTGCTTCGTCCGGCCGCCTCCGCCTGCGCCGGGGGCGCGTGTTGAAAGCACGCGCAAGAGCGAGGCGCTTGGGTGAAGCGATCCTTGAAATGCTGAAGGCCTTGCGTGGACTTGGCTTTGAGGTGGGGACCGTTCCCGGTGTGAACTTGATCCCCAAAGGACGATCGCGGCACTATACGCCAACACATAGATAGCGGCGTGGGGGATTACTTCCCTTTTGTAAAACATCTCTTTGGGGGTCCATTAAGATGCTGTTTTTGTTTTTTAATATTTATTTTTTTTGCCCTGTCTCCCAACGAGACTGGCAGGTTCAGACGCACTTTTGCGAAAGTATTGCATCCAGTTTGCTGCCATACTTGGAGGACCCGACTGATCTTCAGAAAACAATGGCAGAGGAACAGAAAGTGTGTATACTGGCTGGGTGTGAAGTTTTGAGCAGCTGGTTCATTTGGCCAGACCCTGACAAGCAAATGGTTTGGCGACAGCTGTGCATCTTCGTCATCCCTTCACGTTTTATATCTTGAAGAAAGTGTTGTGCCAGACTTTTGGTGTCCAGTGTGTGAAACAAGACTCGACACATTTCCTTTTTGTCTTTTGGGGATGACGGCCTACATGTCAGTATGGCAATCGGCCAGGTGCAGCATGTCCTGGCCGGGTTCTTAAGCTCTTAAGTTCCACCGCCTGATTCACATTCTTGATGATCATTCAACATTTGCACTTTGTTTTCCAGCAAGAAAGACCCACCATCATTCCACACGAGGCACATCAAACACAGGAATCCAGCCTAACAAAAGCTGAGGCAACATCATCCTGGGAGCACTTGCTCGGGGTGTGGGGCTGCACCCATTGTGGGCCCACGCCCTTTACCCAGTCTGTTTTGTGACTGGAATAACTGGACTCTCCTAGACTCTCCTAGACCAAGGCTTCAAGTGTCCTGCCTGCCCTGCATATGACTTATGCAGCGCCCCGAGGGGCCGGTCTGTGGCCTTTTTTTCCGAAGAGGTCTGTTGGGCTCAAAGAGCCGCATCCTTCCGATGGTGAAACAGAGGTGGGAACTGCTACCCACAGAAGAACCAGCTTCACGGGACTTGTCCTGGCTGCCGGAAAGATTTTCAGTGCATCATTTCTCCAGGCAGGGCTGTGGCATTTCTCAGATGGGACACCGTGGACGGTCAGTGTCCTTTGGACGGTCAGGTGGTAAAGATGGAAAGTTCAGAAGCAAAGGAAATGACAAAGCCGAGTTGGGGCACCCAAGAAGCAGCAAGCCTTAGGCACGACAGGCCCTGTCAGAATTTTCCGGGTCGGACAGGTCCTCAATTTTGCCATGAGAAGTTCGCTTGTTCGCGGCAACAAAAGACATCATATATATATATATATATTATACAATACATATATATATATTTGATAGATACATATATATATATATAGTTAATAGATACATAGCCGTCTTGCAGCTTCGGTCGACCATAAGATGCCAGACGCCAGAGATTTGAGCTTGCACGATGATTATGCTGCGCCTTTAAGAGATGCAGATTCCCAGTCGACTATTTTGCAGATCCAACTTGTACGAAGGAAAGGGGAGTACCACTTTGATTGGAAGGCCTGCTGTCTTGAGAGAGTCCAGTGCTGCTTCTTCCACGATTTTGTCACACCTCTGTGTGGTTATTTGCAGCAAATTCATGTTTATCGAGGGAGCCGGAAAAGGTGCTGGAGGCTGGTTCTGGCCTCCAAGGGGATGGGTTGCTAAAGGATCGAGTGTTCGCAGAGATGCTATAGTTTTGCGAAGGTGTTGACTGCTTCCTAGTTTTGTTGGTCAATTCTTTTTGCAGCCTCCTGCCAGGGTGGATGGAAGCCGCGATGGGGTTGGCTCTGGCCCATCAATTCAGCTTTAACCTAAGCCAACGCAGCCCGGCTACTCACTTGTCCTCTATCTTACAATTCCCTCACCTCCAAGTTCAGACGTTTTTTTTTTTTTTTTTTCGTGCATCCTATGTGTATGCTCAGGTGGTGGCATGCTAGGGCCCGGTCCTTACAAAAACAAGGACATTTGTTGACTTGAGTTACTGAAAAGCCTTCTAGTAGAGCTTGCATCCCCAGGGAAACACTGCTAAGGTTCAACCATCATTTGCACAACGGTACCATGCCCTTTGGCGCATTGGATCCTGCAATGTTCGATGAGGGACAGGACACTTCGCATGTGCTTTGTAAATTTTGTAAGAGGAGCTCAAGCGTTCCGCTGCGGACCTTGTCTTGTGAAATTGTCTTGCAACATTCAGGACTTCTTTCCTTGGCCTAAAGGAAGATGCAAAGGGAAAGGCAAAGGAAAGGGTAAGAACAAGCAGGGGAAAGGCCACGAAAAGGAGGAAGTGAAAGCTGAAAAGCTCGGCGCCGTTGATGGCGATGCTGAGCAGCTCGAGCTGGGAGCTTGGACGTGTGATGCTGAAGAGCTCGAGCTTTGGGATGTTCCTCTCTTTCCGACCTGGGTCCCATCGGCCATCAGGTTGGACCGGAAGGTCGCAGATTTGCTCGAGCTTCAGCTGGCCAACGAGGAGGTCATTCGAGACCTTCTGATCAGCAACCATGGCGACATTGCTCAAGTGACTAAAATACTTACGTCCTGAGCTCACTCAACACCCCAGGCAGCTTAAGCTCAGGAAGACACTGACAATCCACTGCAATAGTTGGAACACAAACAAACAGAACACAATACACACACAGTGAAAACATGTCGTTTTTGGCCTAGCTTTTGCAATGTGGCGCTGGTGCCAACACGGTACAGATAAGACAAGTTTGGCCCAGCTTGTGTAGCAACTACTCGTCACAGCCGAGTAGTTCATTACTGCAAGGCCCTCACGTGTTCTGTCCGAGATACGCTGGGAGCTTTGTATGCCGATGCTGAAATCGCGGGCATTGGATGAGAGATCGCCGTCAGCAAAATGAATTTGGTGCGAGAGAATAGTCTATCAAGGAAGCTTGCTGTGCCAACTGTGGAAATAGCATGCGTCGCTGATGAAGCTGTTGATGCGATCAGCTTTTGAGCTAATGACCTGGACCCCATGAGAAGGAGAACGAAACAGCACGGTTTAGACGTGTTTGGACATGTTTGGGCTCAAGGCGTTGTCCTGAAGTGAGCAAGCGTGCTACCTCGCTTTTCGAAGCTTGATACTCTGAGGCTTGGAAGCAATATATATATATATATAAATATACATGTATTATTGTGAATGGATTGTCCACTCACACTGGTAGCTTCCTCGCCCCTACAAACCTGAATCTAAGGGATCCTACCCTACCAAACACAGAGTGGTCCTCCACCCTTCCCACTCACCTTTTCCTTTGTGCGCCCACGATCTCCTGTCCTGTTCGGCCTTGAGCCAACGTCGAGCGTTGGTCTTTCCATTTGAAGGTTCTCGGTTGGTGGTGCTCAAGTCAAATTCACATTGACTATACTTTCTTTTTCGAGTGGAACTCTGCGAACTTCAATCCATCGGGCACTAAACTTCTTGTTGGGATTTTCTTTCAACGAACTGCTGCCATCGTAGATCCTAAGCTTTCCCAAGCCAAGCACCTTTCTCAAAAACGAAGAATCCATCGGCTTCGTCAGACAATCTGCCAACATTATTGCTGTTGATATCCATCGGCATTCGGTGGTCTCTGCCGATTGTTGTTTAATCAGCATAACTTCTATCGTGGTTCTCCATTCCTGACAATTTGGGGTGGCCATTTTGTTCACTAGATCGTACAAACTCTTGCAGTCAGTGATTAGTAGTGCCTTTGGTTCGGTGCAAAGCGAAACCTCTGGTGTTTGCCATTTGAAGCCTCCATCTTTTATGATGCTCCACATGCATCTAATCCATGTGAGTATATCTAGCGAAGATGACATGGCGTAAGCCTCTGCACTCAATGACTCAATGTTGGTCTCACCACCCTGCTTATTATTTGTTTTGAGTGCCATGCGATGGGTGTGATATCTGAGATTCGGTTCTCATCTAGTTCTTTGGTGCATGCTGCAATGAACACCCCCTGCTGGGCCTTCAACTGGCTTTCCGACGCAAAACTTGCGTCCCCCAAACTGGCAAATGTCAATTGATGCATTGGAATCGGCTGCACAATGATTGCCGTGCTCGAAGATTCTTTTGCTTCTTTTAGGATTTTGTTTGCTTCGATCAAGTCTTTGATTTCTGCACAACAAATTCTCTTTTGCATAAAGGACACCTTTGCCATAATGTCGGGTCGTGAGTGTACTGCTGCGTACTGAAGACTCCCACACAGTGCTCTCAACTGCTGCAATTCACGACTAGTGACTTTAGACTCAGTTCTTTCCTCCGGACTTTCGGAATATCTATTGGATCGATTTGATGGGCATAGTCTTCCTGATTACGGTAATCGTTATTGAAAAATCTTCTCTTTGCTCAATTACTAGTCCTGTAAACTTGCATCGCCCATATTCTCTGTTGCCGAAAGGTAGTTTCTTCTGGATTCTTTCAAGTGTTTGCTCAAACCTCTGATTTCCACCCCCGATTCCGTCGTCAACGTGGGTTCCTAGAATCCCGTCCAACTTTGTCGGGTTTGTTGGATTCCTCAGCAAGAACAGGCAATTGTCCAAAGGATGTGTTTCGAAACCTTCGAGTTCAATGCACTTTCTAAACTCCTTGTAGAACAACAGTGGTGCGTCTACTCGTCCATACGCATTTCCCTTGAGAGCTAGAACATATTCTTTTGACAAATTCAGCAACTCCTGGAATTCTGGAACAGGATACACGGCCAATTCTCTCTCATCAGCTTTTCCCCTTAAAAAGGCGGTTTTGATATCGAAAGATTGCACCTGCCATTTGAGTGAGCTCACTGTTTGAAGGATCATCATTCTTCCATCCCTGGACAGTGTTGGACTCTTTGTCGAGATCAGCCCTACTTCCGGATCCTGAAATCCTCGGATTACAAGTCGTGCTTTCGGTTTTCGACCTGTTGGTGAAGCCTGGTCCTCCTTCCAAGTCAAGACCCATTTGGATGTCATGATTCGACTCGGATGGATTTTGTTTCGCAACAAAGGCTCAACTGTGTTGGTCTCGATCCAACATTTTAAGTCTTTGCGTTTTGCCTGATCGAACTGCTTTTTCTCTTCACTATTTAGTTGACGATATTGGACCTCGGTATGTGTTTTCTTTGCTGCTTTATTCAAGGCCTCTGCATGAAAGCATGGATTCTTGCAAAACTTCTCCAATGTTTTCACTGGAGCTGCGAATTCGAAGCTGCAGACTTGTGCATCGGCTGTTAGTGATTCCTCACTCCATAGAGTACCCTTATCACTTACCCCTTCAGCCCCTATCCCCTCTACTACACATGCGTTAACCACCATTGAATCCCCATTTGATTCGAGTGGATTTGGTGCATTATCTGGCCATTCAGGAGTGGTTTCTTCTTCTTCTGGATTTCTTCCTGCTGTAGGATCATTTACAGGAATGTGACTTGCATCAAGACCTGGCGGCAAAGCACTGGCTCTGCTCCGGACAACCGTCGATGAGGCTCTTCCTCTGGTTGTATGGCTGGCGCTGTCGAAGGAGATGCGATTGATGGCTCATATTCTAGTTCTTGGTTTTCTACTTGATCGGTGAATTGGAACATACCACTTCTCTCTCTCTCTCTGAGTTGTGTACGAAGTTGTTCTGCCATCTCTTGCAGCCTCTTCTGGTTTCCTATTTGGCTGAATCCATGGTGGTTTTGAAATTCTCTCAAAGACACGGATCTCATGTTTTCTCGTGCTACTCTGAGTAAACGGTTCATATGAGTAACCCAGATTACAGTTCTCGATTCATTCATGACCACCTGAGAAGGTCCAACCCATCTCCCCTTCTCAAGCATATTAGGAGCCTTGCGTTTGTCCCAAACCATGCACAACAACTCCCCGCAATGCCAATCGTGTTCTCTTCCTCTTGATTGCCTTAAAAGTGCTCTACGAATGGCTTGATTATTGTCTGCATCGATTAAAGCTTTTCTTGCTTCTGCTCGAATTTGCATGCGTTTCTGGAAGGCATCTGCTTGTGTGTCTTCACTGTCTTCCAGGGAATGTGTGACTGTCGTTTCATCACTGCAAATGGATCCTGGGACTCTGCTGGCTTTCCCTAACACAGCTGGTTCGGGACTGTACCCTTTTGCCACACTCATGCTGTTCTTCGCTTGGAAGCATTGTTGTAAAGCATAGTCAAAATCTTTGTCTGTCTCGATTGGTGTATGATTATCTATTCGACTAAGCATTTCTTTCACAGTTTCTCCATGTCTTTCTATCCTCCCTCGCTGCCACGGGGCTGCTGACGTTATAGACTGGATGCCATTTTGCTGGAGCATATTCTTCCAGTTTTGGCTTACGAACTCTCCGGCAAGATCATGAACAATGACCTGTTGGGGACCTGCCCAGTGCATCCATGATTCATTTACAACCCTTTCAGCTTCTTCTGTTCCCCTAGAGCATCGTTTCCCCAAGTGAAAATGGGTGGCTTCATCGAATATGTGAATCACATAGTACTTCTGTCCTGAGGTATTCTTCCATTCGAATGCATCTACTGTAGTGTGATCACTTCGTTGAAGTCTTTTGGTTCTTTCAGTTTTCCTGGACTAGTAAGTTTTGGGGACACTCTTTCGGAACATGACTGGCACACATATTCGCTTGTTCCGTCTATGACCTCTTGCGGAAATCTCAGTCTTCGAAGGTGGTTTGCCAACTTTTCTGCGGTGGGATGACCTAGATTGTTGTGCATTCTTTGGATGAGTGATCTCTGGAAGCTATCTAGTTCTAGATACTTGGGCCCCGAAATATTGGTCGACTGCGGTGACCATGCTGGTGCATGATCACATGATGTGACTGGAATTGTGACAGCCAATCGATCTACCGAAAACCACACTGTTGCTTCAGAAAGGTTCCTGGCCACTCGGTCATAGTGACGTTGACGGATCCGGACTTTGGCAAATTAGTCTGCAACCAACTGAAGACTGAGTCCCAGTCGTCACCTGAGAGGAGATTTCTCTCAGATTCACTTGGTTCAGCCCTTTGCTTGAAATCGCGTGGTGGCTCGAATCGTGCGCGTGGTGGCAGGATTTTCTTCGGACTCTGCTGGATAGACCTGTTCTAATTCACTGGTGCTACCAAACAAATCGGCTTCATGAATGGAACCATTGACCGACTTTGCCCCTGCAAAATGCTTCTGGCTGGCTTGGCAAATACTCTTGGATAAAATGCCGCAAATCTGGACAGCGCAACCCTGTTTCCCAGAAATTTGCATGGCCCTGCTATTTGAGCATGACTGCAATTCCCTTTGCAAAACCTTCCATCTAAGTCTCGAACCACTACATTGGACGTTGTCTTTAGTCTGGTGTACTTCTTTAGCGGTTGATGATCTTCATGGTGTACTAGGCCGAATCGACACTGATCTAGATGGACAGTTTTGGTCAAAGCCAAAAGGGATTCAAACTCCTTTTGTTTCCATAGGTCTGATGTTCCAGGGTTCTCGATTGTGAAATGCCTACCTTGCTGTACTTGAATCTTGCATATTAGGACACACAGTTGAATGTGTTCTCTTGATAGTTCCTGGCTCTTTTGTATCTTCTCGAACAATTTCATGCTTCTCTGGGAGTTGAATCTGTTCCATGCACACCATGGATGACATGCTGGCGCTACCCAAATA